TATATATATATATATATATAATATGATATTTATTAATGAAGTGTGATGTATTGAAAAAAGCACATAAATTAAACTGTTATTAGACCAATTATTCCTGGATTTTTATAATATGTAGTAAGCCTGGAGCCAACTGAGAAAATTTCTTTGAATTACTCAAAAAATCAATTCGTTTTGCATAATGTTATTTTAAAAATGTAAATTTATAAGTCTAATTTGCTGTATTTTTTCTTTCAAGATTGAAATACAGTACAAATGCATTTCAAGACAATTTGGATTTTTCCAATATGGCTCTATCAGTTGTAAAGAAACTTCCTGTTTCTGACAACTTTCTACAGAAATTGTTTGACTTTAAAGAAATGCTCTCTAATATCAGTAAGTAAGAAATAAACAATTATAAAAGTAACCGTAATGATACAGAACATTAGTGTAATATGTATGAAGTTTTATTCAAAGTTCCTTCAAAAGGAGCAGGATTAGTTAGAGTTGCAAAGAAGCTGAGAATTATTGTATTTTTTTTCAGTGGGAGCCAACAAATATCAATTGGGATCAATTGTTCAAAATACTGTGCAAAGGAAATTCAAAAGAAGTTCAGATAGCCTACTTTCTGATATAAAGGAAGTTAAAGAATGGGTGAGAAAATTCTTTCAAGCATTGATTATTTAAAAGAAAGTATTTTTGTCTTCAAGTATTTTTTTTACAGCTGGCATATGAGTATGAAAATATAAATGAAAAATTAAATAGTCCCGATCCCAGGATAGTGAAATATGGCATTAAAGGTTTGCTACCTCTATCACATCGGCAAATGATGTGTGGTAGTGCCACACCAGGAAAGCCTGAAATATTTGGTAGGTGTAAAACATTGGAAAGCTATCAAGTTAAATACGGAACCCATTTCTCCTTGTATTCATTAATTGTGGAAATACTGATGTATTGATGTCGTAATTACATGAAGAAATAAAGGAAGTCATCTCCGTCAGTTTAATAAATTATATTAAGGTAATCCATAGTACATAAACCGTTGAACCGATTTTCTCCAAATCTGATGTTCCCCAATTGTTCTAGCTTGTGTCGCGGACCGTGGTATATGAAACCGATATTTTAATTTTTGGGGGTACTTTACATGACGCCCCTTGGACATTTTCAAAATTTTCAAAAAAATGGCTCCAAACTTTTTGATTAAATTTTGTTGTTGGATAGAGCAAAGGACGTTTCAGAGAATGGTGCAGGACTTATTTTCGTTAACATCCCATTTTTTTCGAAAAATGGGGAAACATATTAAAACTTCAAAATTGGAGATAAAGATTTTTGTTTCAAACAAAGTCTGTTGTACAAAATAAGCTCTTTAAAAAAGGTCCTTCACAATTTTTTGAAAGACGAGTAGTTTTTTCGTTATTTCGATTGAAATGTGATATTTTTTTCTCAAAAGTCGCTCCTATTTTTTCTTTACATCTCATGGTAAAAGAAAATGTATTGGCACTGGAGGACCTGTTAAGGGACTTGCCACTCGAGCCAGTCTAAAAGCAGGTCAAGATTCAATTATAACACCGAAGAAAATATTTGATTGGGCAGAAATAAGTATTTATTATATTTCGCCTATTTGTTTTTGGATACATTCAGTCATCACAGTGAACATTTAAAGTTTAGGTATCAATATTTAAAACTAATAACTGGAACTTTGAAAATACATTTTTTCAGAGTTTTGTCACTTACTGAAGGAACAGTGAGAGTACTTTCTTTCGCGCCAAACGATAAGCGAGTATATTTGAAGTGAGTTGTGAGTGACAAGAACATTTGAAAATGTGAGTCGAAACGTCAAAAATTCGAATTGGAAAGTCAAATGTAATTGTGGAGTTGCACCACCCCCAGAAGAACTTAAATTACTGCATCATTCAAAGGATTTGCTGGCCAGTAATGAAAGAAAAGCTGCTGTTAGAGCAACCTTAGTACACACTGATTCGTAATAAATTCATATTTTTTACTGAGATATATTAGTTACTGAGATCCCACGTTGATTTTATCTGGAGTTGTCAACCAGACTCTTGAGGGTTTCTGATGATCCAGGGGTCGATTGGGAATCAATAGTAAAAAATAAAACGGCACTTGATCAGTATAATCAAGGATCCATTGATTACAAATAATAATAATAATAATAATAATAATAATAATAATAATAATCGCCTTCTGATGTCCATAAAAACCTATAATAATAAAATTACAAATTCTTTCTTCTTTCGTATCCATCGTTAGTCCATAGGGGTTAGGATGTTAAGAAAACTCAAAAACAAGAACAAGAAAGTTGTCTCCTCAGTTCACACGGGAGAATTGTTTTGACAAGTTCTTATTAGATAAAAACTTAAGATTAGAAACGCAGCTACTCAAAGGCGGAAGCGTCTGAGTTATTTAAACGAGATATTTTAGAGAATATTGATATCTTTAAGGCGTTTACATGTAATTCTTTGTGTCATCATAACGATGCTGTATATTGTAGAGAAAACGTAAGGGGGTCGGAGAAGCAAATAAATTCTCTTAGGAGGAGTCGATTGGGGAACCCTTCTTTAAGCCCTCGAGTACAATTTGGGAGTTTTAGATCCTTTGGGTACCCGCTCCTCGTATCCGTCATAACCGGCCTAAAGAGCTTTAACATACTGTTAGGTAATGTACATATAATTGTGGGAATGTTGATGTGGTATTCTTGACGTCATTACATGAAGAAATAAAAGATGTGTCAACTTAATATGTTTATTTAGAGAGCCGACTTTCGACTCGCCGTACTTTGCCTTATTTTGTATTTACTTTTGTATACTTTCGTAACTACTTTGGTATTTTATTTATATTTGTAAACTGATGATGAATGCAAAACCGTTGAAAGCCGCCTCTTTAAATAAACATATTAAGTTGACGGAGATGACATCTTATTTCTTCACTTAATGTACGTATAGTTCAACACTAAGGAGGAAAAAGTTTTGTGCGCCGCATTCCTATCATTTCCCATCACGTTTACTTCAAGGTCGTGTCATATAATGCACAAAAACAATACTTTGTTAGAAATTAGCATGTTTCTTTTTCATCTTCCGAGAAACATCATGTGATCTAGATGGTCGAGTGTATATTTTTCGTATGTACTTGTTCATTAAGTAGTAAACTGCAATATGTGTATTTTTTAAAGTAGTTCACAGTGCTCTTTAATTACGAGACTAATGTAAAGTACATTTTGGTTTTACTCTTTGAAAAATTGTTAATTTGTACTCGATAGGAATTTTTTCAGTAAAATGTTAATTAGAGTAAATTAAATACTTTACATTTATTAAACAGGTGGACGTATGGTCGCTCATATATGGGAGAAATTTTTGAATCGACACAAGATTCCAGAGAAGATATATTTCCTAGAAAAAGTAGTGCCAGCAACTGAGTCGACAGTTAGTTTTGTAAGTAATGAACGGGCATTTCCCTAACTCAGTTTCATGAATTAAAAACGTTTTTATCTACTCTATTTGTTATAGATGAAGTTAACTAATGAATTATTTCTGGGAGTTGCTTTTCCTCTGTGTATTGGAAGATCTTTATTTCCAATTGATGTTTTAGAAATACTGAAGAATAATTCAGACATCAATATCGATTTTTCCAGGTAGGTCACGAAATATTTTTTAAAAATCTGCAAATAAATTGATGTGTCAGACTCTTAGTTTAAAAATGACATATGAAAAAAGAGGTGAAATATATAGCTATAATATGTTTCGATATTAGTGTAGAGAAGGGGTAGCATTCATAACTTAAAAAATTAAATACTTTGTCTAATCTACAATCTGGAGCGTTTTAATGGAGTTCATTACGAACAGGACTGTGATGGTGAATGAAATATGGTTCTTTGACAAAAACCGGAAGGTGCTTCACCGAGAGACAAGATCGTCAACAAGATTAAGACTGCCAATTCCGAAGAAACAAAATACAATTAAAAATTCTATTTTTCAGGTAAGGTGCAAGAGATCATTTAATGAATTGTAGCTTTCTAAGTCAAAGCGCTCTTCAGAACTGGTTCCCCACGAAGAGCTACCCCCCCACCCATTACCATTTTTCAAATGAGAGGTATTATTCTCAATGAGATTACTAGCGTCAATAATAATAGTAACAATAACAACAATAACAAAACAAATAATAATAACAATAACTAGTAAATAATAATAATAATAATAATAATAATAATAATAATAATAATAATAATAATAATGCTAAAAATAACACAGTTCTAAGCAGTTGTTTTTTCCTGCGGTATCTGATTGAGAATATCTTTGAAACTAATTTTGATGAACTCAATTGAAATCTGCATGTCTATTTTGCCTATTACGTACGGTTTTCGCGTCTGTGGAATAGTTTACATTTTTTCATCAACATTACAATCCAGTTATATACAATAATAAGCAATTTTCTTTTGACCTAAACTAATATGAAGTATATTATCTAGGCTATCCGGGACGAGCCGCGTCACTAATAGTGGCTAACGTTTCGGCCAACGTATTGTGGCCTTCCCGTACTGCTGAGCAGTACGCTCTGAGTCATCGAGCAGTACGCTCTGAGGAAGACCAGAATACGTTGGCCGAAACGTTAGCCACCATTAGTGACGCGACTCGTCCCGGATAGCCTAGATAATACAAACTCCGGTCACTACGGTCCGGAATCCTACGTAACCAACTATGAAGTATAATTTGTTATAAGAGCTAGCCCATTAGCGTCCTCTTAGTTTCAAATTAAATTAAAAAACACAATTTTTTTTGCTTGTTAATTCAATGGTATTCACAGTTATTTTAGTTCTTAAAACTTAAAACACTTTGACACCACTCTTTACACTGTATTACATAATGGCACAGACTTTTTCATATTCGTTAGTTTCCACATCTTTTGGTTTATACTATCTTTTTGGTTTTTCCTCACCCTCTTCTCAGCTGCCGTCTATTGGCGACTACAATATATTGTAACCTGCCGTGTGGTCTTTCGATGTGCAGTTGCATGGTCAATAAAACACACAGAATAAATTTCACAACACGTTTAGTTAAATTTTAAAATTATGATGATGACGATGAACATTCAAATGGATGAATTTATAAAGTTATTATAATTCATGATTTAATTATTGCGGCTTGCAAGTTTGACTGAAGCGATTACAAAAAAAAAAAAAAAAAAAAATTGCCGATACGTATCACATGCGGTATTGGTGGCATCTAGTCTCTCAGCTTCCTTCGTTCAACAGCCTTTCCGCCTTGCAGCGGGGTTGGAGCTAACGGGGACCCGATTAAGGGTCATTCACAAAATTCTTTCTATGCAATGGCGTGGTGGGTTCCTTCCTGAACGGCCGGGCGCCGGCAGGACCTGTGGCACAGCGGCCGGGAGGGGGGGGGGTGAGGCGGGCACGTCCTACGTGGTTGCTCTCTCGTTCACTCAAGCCGGACATAGGACGATCACGCATGGGCTCAGGACCCTCATGCCGCGTCATCGATGTCGCGTTAAAGTGGCGATCGGCTGAGTTCGATTCCCGAATCAGGCGGGGCCGCAATGTACCGGCCGGAGCACAATAAGATGAGCTCAAAAGCTCTAAGCGCGACTCTAGTGCCGAAATTATACTGAAAGTACACGGTAATGCAATTCATTGCGGGTTCAAGCTAGAAGGCGAAACATCACAAGCGCGGTTATAATTTTGAAATTGCAATACGATCAGTTCATATCCCCGTATGAAGGTAACACACAATGACATTGGGTGTGGGGAACTGTAGATCGGGAGTATATCATTATCAGCTACTACGATTCATTGATACGTTCAATGTCTGATACTAAAAGACCATATTTGAACAAAGCTGAGCACGAAACACATTTTCAACTCAT